CGGAGCGTCCGTGACCGCGAGGATAGACCCCCGCGCCGCCGTTTCCAAGACCCCCCCCCCCCCCCAACCCCTACCCCCACCCCGCAAACTCCCCCTGACCCGCGCGCGCGCGAGCTTCGCGGCCGACGTCGCCGCGATTTGGCTCGCGCGCGTTCCCCTGCGCATCCCCCAGTGCCGAAACCAACCATAGGCGTAGGACCCCCCATAGAAGTATTATTTATTATTCTGAGGCGGGACGCGTTACTAATCTGTACGTAGACCGCGCGCGCGCGTGGTCCGGTGAACTTTTCGTTCGACCCTGGGCAAAATCGGTCGAATATATCATACTGAGTCAACCAAGGCTCGTTAAATTGTCCGATCGCATCGATTCCCACGTGTTACAGGCGCGGGTCGCGGGTTCGGGCCGGGGAAACGTAGAGAGATAACTTCAACATTGCACTGATCGTGCAAACTTTTTGACCGAGGACTATTCGGATTTTATTTTGGTTTCGGCACTGCCATCCCCCGGCGGGCAAGGTCGTCCGCGGCGTCGAGCGACGACGCTGGCATTCACGACCGAGCCCACCATTGCGAGGCTGTGAAGCCCTCCCCAGCGCGTTGAGAAAAACTGGTTCGCGCATGCGCTTAAGCTCCCATATTATTATTATTATTATGGGTGCTTTAACGTGGGACTAGGACGGCGGCCCGTGGGCGGCCGTCGGCGCACGCGGATCAGGTCGGAGATCGGGGAGGATCATACTCGCATCACGCGCGACCGCGCTTGCTTTGGGGGGTCGTATGCCCGGGAGCGACGCCGAGCAGCCCCGGGGCCCCACCTCACGCTCGACGACCTCGTCGACGTCGTCCCGTGAACCCGTTACGCGACTCGGAGGCTAGTTGAGCGGCATCTTGAACCACATCGAGAGCTATGAACGGCCTCGTCGCCTACGGCAGCTCCGACTCGGACGACTCCGACGGCGAGGCGTCCCGGAACGACGCCGGCGCCGCCGACGCCTTCGGCGAGTCCGACGCCGAGAGCGACGCCGCGGAGCCGGACGCGGCGCCCGTCGCGGCGCCGAGCGGCCTGCCGTCAGCGGACAGCGTGCTCTCCGACGACGTCGCGGCGGGCAGCTGGCTGCAGAAGCCCGCCTGGGCGACGGCGCCCAAGGCGCCGCGGCCCGCGAAGCCCGCGGCGACGGCGCCCTCGCGGCTCGCGCCCGGCGCCAAGGCCGAGGGCGACGAGGGCGACGAGAAGGGCGACGACATGTACGCGACCTACGACCCGGCCAAGGGCTGGAGCGGCAAGCAGAAGTCGAACATCGCCGACAACGGCCTGTCGGGCTACAAGGGCCACGGCGGCGGCCGGAGGCCCGCGGCGCCGGCCGCGGCGCCGCCGCCGGCCGCGGCGCGCGCGGCGCCGCCGCGCGGCGGCCCGCAGGCCGGCGGCAGGAAGCGCGACAAGCCGGACCGCGTCAACGCCAAGGAGCGCGTCAAGCAGCAGCGGCTCAACGGCCAGTCGGGCATCGGAGAAAACTTCAAGGTCTGGCGATCCGAGGAGGAGATGCGCCTCCGGCAGCACTACGACTGAGCGCGGCGCCGCGTCCCCGGAAACGAGGAGTTGTTCGTCGTTCTGGTGAGCGCACGCTGAATAGATATGCGACCCCGGGCAGAGAGACACACACATCAGCTCGCCGACCCGCGGGCGTGACCTCAACTTTTTGAAATCGCGAGTGAAGAGCACGAACGCGGCGCGCGCGCGCGATCGTCTCGATTCAAGCGTGCACAACCCCCTCTCTCTAGGTCCTCGCTTTTGCCCGTCTTTCCCCTGGAGTTGTAATAGAAATTGGTCCCTTAGTCGTCCTTCGAAGCGACCGCCTTCTTCTTCTTCTTCGGCGCCTTGACGAAGAGGAAGCGGACGGCGCCGGCGGAGAGCGCGCCCGCGGAGATGGCGGCGACGAAGGCGGGCATGGCCGTCGGGATGGAGTTCGGCCGCGTCGCGAACGTGCAGCCCAAAATCAGCGCCGCGGGCAGAAAGCGCGAGGGCCTCCGGAGCGCGACGAGCCAGGTCCAGGCCGCGCCGCCCATGAGGAGGCCCGTGAGGACGGCGGCGACGGCGACGCGCGCGTCGTCGCCGTCGCGCGCGCCGGACACGCGGAGCGCGACGACGGCGGCCTCGAGCGCGCCGGCGCCCCGGTGCACCCAGCCCGGGTAGCCCAGGTCGCCCTCGACGCGCCGCGCGTACCAGCCGAGGGCGACGCACTGGAGCGACGCCAGCCCGAAGCACGCGGCGACGAAGGCGTGCGGCAGCGCCAGCGGGTCCCGGCTCGCGCGCGGCACGCCGGAGACGAGGCCCGACGTCTCGCTCGCGATGACCGCGAGCGCCGCCGGGTAGATCACGAGCCAGCGCCAGAAGAGCTCGCCGTCGCCGGGGCCCGGCAGCTTCTTCGGCATGGTTGAGGCGCGGCGCGACGGCGCGGACGCTGTGGAGAAGCCTTGTGGAGAGCTGCGGCACCATATTGCATGCAACAACCGCCGTACGTGTACGCGATGGCTGCCATCTTTGGAGGGCTGCCATAGCTTCATTTACAGCTTGTATACATCGCAGTTGTGACCAGTAACCATCTCAGCTGCCTGTAGCAAAGAGCGTTCTGCAGGGCCGGAGAGAAGAGACATGTCGGCGTGCTCCCCCCTGCTCATGCAGATGTCCGCCGCCGGTCCCCTCGTGCCGGCGGCTCCCTCGACCTTCGTCGACGCGCGGGCGCGCTTCGAGGGCGCCCTCGAGCTACGGCCGGGAAGAAACATCGAGTGCTCCTTCCGGCCGCACGAACAAGACGCCAAAGCGCCGACGGTCTTCCTCGTGCCGCGCGGCGGGTCGACGGCCGAAGAGGAGTTCGGCGCTCCGTTCGTCGCCGAGCTCTCGAAGACCGCGACGGTCGCGACCATGGCGTGCGACGCCGACGCCGACGAGGCCGCGCGCGACCTCTACGAGTTCTTCAAGCGCTACGCGGGCAGGACAAGAGAGCGAAATTCCCAACTTCAAAGCCTCATATCTCGGCCGTTTTCCATCGTTTCGGCTGAATTTTGGACGAGCGATCATCTCTCGGAACGCTCTCGAAGCGTGGATGCTTTTTTCCGGAACGCGCGCGCGCGGAACACTCACATTGAAGCGACGTTGAATCTCTCTTGTCCTGCCCAGGCTCTACGCGGGCGACAGCACGAACCGCACGCTGACGTCGATCAACGTCCTCGTCGCGCGCGGCTCGTCCGTCGCCTTGGCCGTGCGGCTGACGTCGCGGTTCACGCGGAACAACGTCGACGCCGTCGTCGTCGTCGAGCCGAGCTTGAAGCCGCCCCGGCGCTGGGCCTGTCTCGACGCCGCGCTCGGCGTCGTGCTCCCCGGCGGCGCGAGACGACGGACGTTCGACCGCACGGCGCGGCGGCTCTGGCCCGACGCGGGGGCCTGGCGCGCCATGTACCAGCCGACGCTCGTCGTCGCGGCGCGGCCGTCCGCCGCCGTGCTCGCGCATCTCGTGGACCCGAGCGTCGCGGCGCTCGACGCCGCCGGGGACCCCGTCGGCTTCGCGGCGCGGGTGGCGGACCACGCGGGCGCGGTCCTCGGCGCGTACTCGGCGCTGCGGGCGCGGGCGTCCCGCGGCTTCGTCTGCGACGCGGCCATCGACGCGCGACGTCACGGCCGAGAGCCTCGACCGCTACGCCGGGGTCGCGCTCGCCTAGTTAGAGTTCGCCGTCGCCCCGGCGCATCTTGCCGAAGAGGAAGGTGAGGTTGATGCGGCGGTTCTCGTAGCCCGGCTTGAACGTGAAGTCGTCGGTCTTGTGGTAGAGCGCGGAGTCGAAGATGACGATGCGGTTCTGTTTGTAGGGGACCGTGACGTTCGCGTAGTCCGTCGCCTCGAGGAGCTCCCTGGCGAACTCGTCGCCGCGCGAGTTGTACTCCTCGGCGGAGGCCGCCGCGCCGGGCTTGGCCGTGTAGATGACCAAGCCGCCGCCGGCCGGGTCGAGGTTCGCGTCGTCGGGCGTGAGCCACACGTTGACGTTGACGGCGGCCTCGTCCGCGTGGACCTTGATGCCGCCGTAGTCCGAGTCGTACTTGTAGCACCAGAGGTAGGCCAGGGGCCGGTCCCTGAAGGTCTCGGGCATGGCCCTCTGGAGCGCGCTCGCGAGCTCGAGGAGCGCGCGCGCGTGCAGGCCGTCCTCGACGATCGCGCCGACGTAGCCGCCGAACTGCTCGGGCATCTTCGTCTCGTAGAAGACCGTCGACTCCAGCAGCAGGGACCGGATCTGGTCCAGGGCCGCCGGCGTCAGCGCGTCGTCGATGACGACCGGTTTTCCTTTGGCGAAGTTCGCGTCCGCTCCCTCGAAGGACATGACCTGCAGGTACTGGCCGAGCGGCTCCGGGTCCGGCACGTGGATCGCGCGGTTGTAGTAGGCGCCGATGTCCTCGACGTCGTCGGGCCGGAAACCCCAGAGGCCCCGCGTCCGCCCGAGCGCCTCGAGCGGCGGGATCCTCGCGCGCACGCGGCGGAACCGGCCGAGCACGTCGTGCTCGTCGAGCCACGCCCTCACGGTCGCGTTGCGCTTCGCGACGTACTCGAGCTGCTCGATGTCGTGGTCCAGCTTGTACGCCGACGCGTAGGTGTTGCCCGCGCCCTTGGCGACGAGCGCCTCCCGCAGCGGGAGCAAGCCGTCGACCGGGCCGAGCTGCCGCGACGTCCGCGAGAAGTAGTCCCGCAGCGCCCAGCAGAGCTCGTCGAGGTCGCCGGTCCTGAAGTAGTGCGCGACGTCGTCCGACGTGAGCGGCGACACCTGCGGCGCCCGCTTCTTCTCCTCGAGGCCGCCGCCCACGAGCCGCTCGAGGAGCTGCGCGAAGCGGTTGCCGCTGGTCGGGATGGCGACGAGCGCGACGAGGAATGCGATGCGGCGAAGCATCATCATAGCTATGAGATGCGCAGTTGCGACGTGTGAGCGGTTGCAACCTCTCACGGCTACTGCGCTCGACGAGTCGCGACGGCCATGCTGTCGGACCTCAACATCCTCAACATGCAGAATTCGGCAAAATCGACCTCCGGACGGCCTCCGCCGGGGGCGAAGCGCGACGCGATGCGTCGAGAAAGGCTGTGGGGCGACGGGCCAGACCTCCGTGCAGCTTCCAAGGATAAGATAGTCCCCAACCGAGCCGATGGCGTCGCGGGCCACGCCGACGAACTCGTCGGCTTTGCGGGTTTTGGTTGGCTTCGAGCCGGCTCGGGGCCATCCTGCCTCGACGATCGCGACATCGAAGGCGCCAAGTGCTCGACCTCGGCTGCGACGGCGCGGCTGCAGCAGCGATTCATCTGAAAGCGCGCAGGCGCCGTGCGCTCTTCGCCAGCGCGCGCGCGAAGACGCCACAAAAGCGCGCGCGCATCTTCCGCCTCCTCGAAGCGCGGCGGTTCGCGCTCATGGCGGCGGGCCCCCTGTTCCTGAGCCAGGAGGCGGAGCGGACGCTCAAGCAGTGCCACGGCATCCGCGCCGGCCCCGACGGCCGCGTGCTGCTGCACCGCGCCGCCGAGGAGGCGCAGCAGTACGGCCTCTGGGACCACGCGGATCTGTCGGAGCGCGGCGCGGCGGCCGCGTCCGAAACGCGCGCGCGAACCGCGCTCCTCACCCCCCCCCCTCTCGCGCGCAGACCGGTCGCGCCTCGACGAGCGGCTGCGCATGCTCGCGCGCGCGGACATGACGCGCTTCGCGAACTGCGACGAGTTCGTCGAGCTCGTGCGGCGCGCGCCGGGCGCCGCGAGCGCGTCGCCCGGCGCGCGGCCGCCGAGCACCCGCGAGGTGGAGCAGTTCAAGTCCTGGGACAAGTTCAAGAGCATGCTCGCGGCGATCAACCCCATCGGCGCCTGGCGCGGCGACGTCGCGCCGGGCACGCCGCGCGCGCCGAGCCCGCCCGCGGTTCCGGCTTCCGCGCGCCGCGGCGGCGCGCTCGTCGCCGCCGCGCGGGAGCCGTCGCCGCGGGCGCCCCGCTACTGGGAGGCCAAGGTCGCCGAGCGGACCGAGTACGTCGCCGACCGCCTCGCGAGGAAGCGGAAGCAGGTCGCGGACGACGAGGCCGCCGCCGCGGCGGAAGCCGAGGCCGCGGCCGCGCGGGGCCCGCTCGCGCGCGCGAACGCGTGCAAGGCGGCCCTGACGCCCGAGGAGCTGCGCCGCGTGCGCGACGCCGTCAACGCCGACGACCGCGACGTCGTCGTCGACCACTTCAACTACGAGGTCTGCGGCGAGCACGCGCGGCGCCTGGGGCCCGGCGAGTGGCTCGTCGACGAGGTCGTCAACTACTACTTCGCCATGCTCCAGCAGCGCGACGCGGCCCTGGTCGCCGACGAGGGCGAGAAGCCGTCCCACTTCTTCAACTCCTTCTTCATCCCCAAGCTCATGGGCACGGACGCGCGGTCCTACAACTACGCGGGCGTCAAGCGCTGGACGAAGAAGTTCGACCTCTTCTCGCGCAAGCGCGTCTTCGCCCCCGTCAACGTCGGCAACATGCACTGGTGCCTCATCATGGTCGACTTCGAGCTCCAGCAGGTCCGCTACTTCGACTCCATGGGCGGCGGCGGCGACGCGTACCTCCGCGCGATGATCCAGTACCTCAAGGACGAGCACCTGGCCAAGAAGGGCGCGCCCCTCCCCGGCGACTGGCAGCCCGTCCGCACGACGGACGACACGCCCCGCCAGCTCAACGGCTACGACTGCGGCGTCTTCGCCACGTTCTGCGCGCACTACGCGTCCCTCGGCGCGCCGCTCGACTTCAGCCAGGCCGACATCCCCCACTTCCGCGACCGCATGATGATCGACATCCTCGACAAGAAGCTCTACTCCGCGGTGTAGGGGGCGTAAGCATTCATGGTGTCGGGTTTGGGAGGATGGGGAGCGGTGGGCGCACGAGCTTTGGCGCGCGCCGCGGGCGGCCGGCCTAGTACGCGACGAGGATGCAGGCGTCGAAGGGGAAGGCCCAGAAGTTGGCTTCTGGAACATCTATCTCGTCCGGTAGGCGCAAGACATTGTAACCTTTCACAGGGTCAGATTGGTTTCCAAGCATAGTACTTGGCGCGATAAAGTAATACCTCCCGCAGCAGGTCTCCATAGCATCAATCCATTTCACAGCTGCACTAGCTCCGGGTGCCGGTCGCATGCAGAGACGCTTGAGTTCGTTCAAATTGCTGATGACGCGAATCACGGATTTGCCTTGACGCAGCGCGCGCCACTCCGTCATGGGCGCCTCGTCCGTCTTCGCACCACCCAAGACCGAAGCCACCAGCCCGGCACCCGCGTCGGCGCCCCGCTTCAAGAGCGTATCCTGTTCAAGTTTGAGATTCACGGCCTCAAGTGAGAGCTTGATCTCGGGCGAAGACGAGAGTTCGTCGGCGCTCTCGAGGTGGTCTTTCATCGAAGTGAGCGCGCCGGTCAGTTTCCCATCGGCGATGGCCTTGGCGCTCTCGAGGTGCCACACCGCCGCCGAGTCGTCGTCGATCGAACCACCTTCGATTGCGGTGAGGATGAGCGTCCGCGTCTGAGTGGAATCGACGAGGGACGTTCCCATTGCCGCGTTCGTCACAGGAGACGTCGCCTTTGACGACAACCAGCGCTCGATGGCGTCGCGCTCGTACACACGCCCATCCTGTGCGACTACTGGACACACCGGGAACTCCGACGTGATGGGGCACTGGAGTTGCTCGACCATTGCTCGACCGACGTCTGAGCCCGCATCCTTCTTCGCCTTTTTAGATTTGCGCGGCATCGGACGACTTCAGGGGACTGCGGCCGTATAATCGAGGGCTAGAGGGCGTGTATGCGTGTGACGTTGCGAGCTCGTACGATCGTGCGATCGCTTGTCTGTCGAGCAACATTTTCGCCACTAGCGAGATACTAGCGCTGCGAGCGCGACGACGCGGCGTCTGTCCACGAACCCGTCCTACCATGGTCTTCATCGACGCCGATGGTAACATACGACCGGACGCTGAGCGTCCTAAATCGGCGGCGAGAGCTCGGCCCGCGGCTCGAAGCAACATCCATTCGACGACACCATCGTCCTCCTCGGCGCCCGGCGGCGGGGGCAACGGACGGAATCCCCTGCTCCAATTGGGCGACTACCTCGGGCTCCAGGACAGTTTCGTCGAAATCCCGGCGTGCCCGCCCCTCGGGTGCCCCGCGACGCGGCAACCGGCGGTTTACGCGCTCGCGGTCGGAGTTTCGGCGCTCTTCGCGGGGTGGCGCGTGCTCGTCGCCGCGGCGGCGCTCTACGTGTTCAACGTGCGCGACGCGAGCTAAAGGAGGGGAAACACATCCCACTCGGCGACCTCCCGCGCGGCCGCGAGACGGCGCGACCGCGACGCCCGAAATAAAAAAGAGATCTCCACTACGAAACGAAGCCTCACTCGTGGACCGTGGGGAGGAGCTCGACGCGGGAGCGGCCGATGTCGAAGGCGTCGATGCGCCCCCCCTCGACCGCGGGCCCCTTGGCGGGCCGGCAGACGAGCGCGAGGGGCCCCGCGGGCGCCGCGGCCGGGTCGCTCGCGGGCGCCGCGGAGACGAGCTCGACCTCGTAGATGACGAAGGCGCCCGGCGCGACGTCCGGCGGGTGGCCCGCGTCGCCGTAGGCGAGGGCCGGCGACACCGTCGCGCGCCGCGAGCCGCCGGGCTTCAGGCCCGCGAGCGCCGCCTCCAGGCCCGCGCAGACTCTGCCCGCGCCGAGCACGAGCGTCAGCGCGGTCTCGCCGTCCCAGGCCGTCGACGCGAAGGGCGTCGCCGCCGACGAGCCGCCGTCCCAGGCCGACGCCGCGCACCGCGCCGCGACCGCGTCGCCGGGCGCGCTCGGCCGGCCGGATCCCGGCTCCAAATCCTCGAGCGCGATGCCTTTTTTCATGAGGTCGTCGAAGGCGCCGAGCGACTTCATCGAGTAGGCCCGCGACGACCGGTCCGGCGCCCGCTTCGGGGACGGCGGCGGCGGCGGCTTCGACGCCTCCTCGACGGCGACGTACGCGAGCGGGAAGTAGCCCGCGAGGCCCGACGCCTCCGCGACGCCCTTGACCCAGCCGTCGACGGCCGCCGCCTCCACGGCCGCCGCGCCGGGCTCGCCGGGCCCGCCGCCGGCGACGTCCACGTAGACGACCTCGCCCGCGACGAGCGCGAGCTCCGAGTTCGACGCGGGCGAGAAGTCGTAGAGCACGACGCACCGCGCCTTGGCCCCCTCCTCCATCTCGAACTCGCCGGAGACGCGGCCGCCCGTGACGAAGGCCAAAGCCAGGGGCGCCAGCGCCGGCGCGGCCAGCAGCGCGCCGAGCCAGAGCTCGATCGCCGGCGCGTCGTCGCCCGCGGCCGCGGCCTCGACGAGGCCGTCGTCGAAGAGCACGTCGCTCGCGGCGATGGCCGCGAGGCCGTCGTCGTCGGCGACGCGCCGCAGGGCGCCGTCGAAGGCCACGAGCTCGGCGCCGCCCTTGACGGCGGCCGCGTCGCCGACGCCGTCGATGCGGAATCCCCCCTCGTTCAAACTCACGGCGACGACCCGTCGCGCGTCGCCGAGGGCGAGGGACGAGACCTGGAGCGACAGCGACCGCCGCGACGAGCCCCGCGTGAGCGACGGCCGCTCCTCGAGGACCTCGGGCTCCGCCTCGCGCAGGTAGGGCGACGGCACCATGCCGACCCTGGCGGTCCCGTCGCGGCACTTCCACCAGGACTCGGTCTTCTTCTCCACGAGCGTCAGCGTGTCGCCCTTCTTGAAGGTCAGCTCCGCCGGGGCGCCGGCCTCGAAGTCGTAGAGGCACAGGTAGGACGCCATGCTCGGGGCTGCGCAATCGATTCGCGCGGGGCAAGTAGGGTGCAACGAGTTCAATGTTGCTGCAGTATCGCATTTTCGGCGGCATCGCCTCGCCGCCAATCATCCTGCTGCTCGGCGCCACGCTTCCAGCAGTGGCCCCTGACGCTACCACAAATGGCCTCCCTCCTCGCCCGCGCGTCCCGCGGCGTCGCCCGCCGGCACCGGCCCGCCGCCGCGCCGCGGCGGTCCATGGCCACGGTCGACGTGACGATCCGCGAGGCGTTGAACATGGCCATGGACGAGGAGATGGAGACCGACGAGTCCATCTTCGTCATGGGCGAGGAGGTCGCCCAGTACCAGGGCGCCTACAAGGTCACCAAGGGCCTCTTCCAGAAGTACGGCGAGCGGCGCGTCATCGACACGCCCATCACGGAGATGGGCTTCGCGGGGATAGCCACGGGCGCGGCCTACAAGGATCTCAAGCCCATCTGCGAGTTCATGACCTTCAACTTCGCCATGCAGGCCATCGACCAGATCGTCAACTCGGCGGCCAAGCAGGCCTACATGACCAACGGCGACTTCGGGTGCCCCATCGTCTTCCGCGGGCCCAACGGCGCGGCCGCCGGCGTCGCCGCGCAGCATTCGCAGTGCTTCGCGGCGTGGTTCTCCCAGTGCCCGGGCCTCAAGGTCGTCGCGCCCTACGACGCCGAGGACGCCAAGGGCCTGCTCAAGGCGGCGATCCGCGACCCGAACCCCGTCGTCTTCCTCGAGAACGAGCTCCTCTACGGCGCGTCGTTCCCTTTGTCGGACGCGGCGCAGTCCAAGGACTTCGTGCTCCCGCTGGGCAAGGCCCACGTCGCCAAGGAGGGCACCGACGTCACCTTCGTGACCTTCTCGAAGATGGTCGGCACGTGCCTCGACGCGGCCGCGAAGCTCGAGGCCGACCACGGCATTAGCGCCGAGGTCGTCAACCTCCGGACGCTGCGCCCGCTGGACCGCGACGCCGTCATCGACTCCGTGAAGAAGACGAACCGCCTCGTGGCCGTCGAGGAGGGCTGGCCCCAGTGCGGCATCACGTCCGAGATCTGCGCCATCGTCATGGAGTCCGAGGCCTTTGACTACCTCGACGCGCCCGTCGAGCGCGTCACGGGCGCGGACGTGCCCATGGCCTACGCCATCCCCCTCGAGAAGATGTCCCTCCCCCAGGTCGACGACATCGTCGCCGCCGCGCTCCGCACCAACGACCGCAAGATGTACGGCGTCGCCTAGGCGCGGGATCCCGGCGCGCGGCGCGGGCGACGCGGTCCCGGGCGCGGAGGACGCGGTCCCGCGCGCGAGAAGTAATCGAACCATGAGGTGTGCGAGCGCGGCGTGTGATCGTCGTCTTCTCATGTTCCATGCCGGCGAGTCGGGGGCTCCGAGGTGGAGTAAGCGAAGATGCTCGCTCAAAAGCCACAGAAATCCGATGCGATTGAAAACCGTCCCCACCTACTCCCGCCGACTCGCCGTCCAAGGTGAGCGACGCGTCGCGCAAAGTTTGCGACCGGCCGTGTGCAGGGCGTCGGGTATTCCTAAGTCGTCGTCGCCCTTGAGCAGAGAAGTCGTCGAGTGTGGTGATTTCGTTCGCCATCGGTCTCGAAAGATTCGAGATAAAATCGAGGGCGCGAAGTCGCCGTCGTCGAGCCCGCCGGTCGCGAAAGTGCATTGGCGTGTCCGCGGACGCCGCGGGCACGCGCCATCGCCGCCGGGAACGGCGCCGGTCGGCTCCGAGTCAACTTCCCAATAAGCGAGGCAGACCCGTCGTTAATCGGGAAAAGTGCATTTACGGTCGCTACGACGCCGGGGGCGCCTAGTCTTACCCCGGGGACGCAGGGCCGAAGCCGGAGGCGTCGACGGACGCCATTTGCGCCGTCGGCCCCGGCCCCGGCCGGTCGGCCGGCCGGCCGGCCGGTCGTCGTCGTCGTCGTCGTCGTCGTCGTCGTCGTCGCGCGCGCGCGTGGAGATTATAGCGGAGACCAAGTCCATGGCGTCCTCGAACATGTTCTAGACCACCTCCATGAAGCCGCGCAGCGCCCAGGCACCGGTTTTGGTCTCGAGCGCCTCCTTGCCGCGCGAAGCGCGGGAGGAAAAATTCGGCGGGATCCAGTGCGCGTAGCGGTCCAGAACCGGCGCAGCTGCACGTGCCGCTCGCGCGCGGCGTGCAGGAGGTCGCGCCCTCGCCGGAGAACGAGCCTGCTCCGCGCAGCCGCCGCTGCCGCCGCCCGAGAGGCCGCTGCCACAGAGTCGCCGCACCCGCCCCGCGCGCCGCGCGGGAGAAAATTTCGACTTCGTCGCTGGCCAGCGCGTCGAAACGACCCTCGAGAACATGTGTGAGGTCAGGCTCGCAGCGCAGCAAGTCCACCGCGCGCAGCGCGCTGAGATGGTAGCGCCATGCTCACTGCTGTGGTATTTTTCGTCCGCACAACGTCGCCGGGGAAAATCGGAGGAACTCGATCGTT